ATTTACTTAAGGTTGGTTGGCTGGAGGTTGGGGCTTGCATGGCTGAGGCGAAGGGTATGAGCATGGAGATTGGTTGGAGTTGACTCCGTGTAGTGTATGGACTTCTGCTTGACTCTTTGATGTGATTGCAGGTATGTTCTGTGACCTGGATTATTGGATTGGACTGCCCTGCGCATCTATATATGTGCATGAGGAGACCCACTGTGATTGTGAGATGTGATCGTCACACGTTCATTCCCATATGTATGCATATGTGTGTATATGTGTATGTATGCGTACCTATGTAGGATACTTGTGTGGCCTGAAAGGGGCCGCGTGCTAAGGAGTTAATCAAGGGTTGGGCTAGTAGAGAAAGGATGACCCCATTACTTATACAAGTGCTTCTTGGAGATTGCTAGTCGGACGTTGGTCCTGGGCCGGGATTCAAGGTCCTTGTCCAGGACATCCCAAGCCCTAGGCCCTGCACTGAAGGGGACCCCCCCTCGGGCAGAGCCTATTTGCCTTGACCGCCAGGGCACTCGGGCCGAAAGCCGGACGTGCCACGGCGGCCGCACGGCTAGTCCTTCAGCCGTGCAATGTCGTGAAGGGTGGAACCTTCACGATACTTCGAGTCTGACACGTGAGTGTCATAAGCGGTACTTGGATCCACGAGGGACCGCTCGATTATGGGCACTGCATAGTACGCCATCTTCGCGACTGCTTGTGTGCGTTGGCATTGCTAGTCGATATGAGAAGGCCTACGCCCGTGCGACTTTATATTAAGTCTCGCGCACGACGCTCGGCCGATTCCCGCACCAAGAAGTTATGGGATGGATACTAAAGGACTAGGAGGGTGTCGCGTTGTACGTCCTTTGCGTCGTTCAGTACTTGTGTGCGTGTGTGCGTGTGCTTTACTTTTATGTACCTTATAGTGGTGTGCGCATAGCGTGTGGGATGCGTCCCAGTCGACCGGCGACGAGCCGCGCTTGGGACCTCAGCCCCCCAAGATATCGGTTCGCGTGCGGGTCCGATAGAGGCGTAGTACCGCGCGTACCCCTTATGCTACAGCGAACGAGAAACGCCCTCGGCTGGTCCACCTCTGCGATTGCATCTGATCAGCTTTCGTACTGTGGACTGGTAGCTCGGCGGGGATACGCCCACCGAAGGGAGGTGACAACTCCCGTAAGGTGGAGGTAGTCATGCCTCGCGTAGGCCATGTCCTGTCGTAGGGGCTCGCGAGAGGTATGGCTGGCGCACCCGGCCGGAGCGGCTTACGGAAGTTCCGTGTATATACCACAAAGGGGATGTGTACCCTGACTCCTGCGTGACGCGGCCGGGAGGGTCCCGCGCGCTACCTTTGAGTGGTGCCGGGCCGATGCGCTCGACACCGTCATCCTCCACCACCCATCTAGATCATCTTCTTCGTCCTCTTCTTCTTCTTCTTCTTCTTCTTCTCCTCCTCCTCCTCCTCCTCCTCCTTCGCTTCGTCTTCTTCTTCTTTTCCCCCTCCTTCCTTCTTCTTCTCCCCCTCCTCCTTCGCTTCTTGTTCTTCTGCCCCTCCTTCCCTTTTATCTTCTTCTCCTCCTCCTCCTTCGCTTCTTGTTCTTCTGCCCCTCCTTCCCTTTTATCTTCTCCTCCTCCTCCTCCTCCACTTCTTCTTCTTCTTCTGCCCCTCCTTCCCTTCTTCGTCTTTTCCTCCTCCTCCTTCGCTTCTTCTGCTGCTTCTCGTCCTCCTTCGCTAGTTCTTCTTCTTCTTCTTCTCTTCCTTCTTTTTCGCTTCTTCTTCTTCTTCTTGTCCTCCTTCGCTAGTTCTTCTTCTTGTTCTTGTTATTCTTCTTCTTCTCCCCCTCCTCCTTCACTTCTTCTTCTTCTGCCCCTCCTTCCCTTCTTCTTCTCCTCCTCCTTCTCTTCTTCTTCTTCTTCTGCCCCTCCTTCCCTTCTTCTTCTCCTCCTCCTCCTTCGCTTCTTCTGCTGCTTCTCATCCTCGTTCGCTAGTTCTTCTTCTTCTCTTCCTCCTCCTTCGCCTCTTCTTCTTCCCCTCCTTCCGTTCTTGTTCTTCTCCTCCTCCTCCTTTGCTTCTTCTTCTGCTTCTCGTCCTCCTTCGCTAGTTCTTCTTCTTCTTCTTCTTCGCTGCTTCTTCTTCTTCTCATCCTCCGTTAGTTCTTCTTCTTGTTCTTCTTGTTCTTCTTCTCCTCCTCCTCCTCCACTTCTTCTTCTTCTCGCCCTTCGCTAGTTCTTCTTTTTCTTCTTCTTCTTCTCCCCCTCCTTCCCTTCTTCTTCTCCTCCTCCTCCTTCGCTTCGTCTTCTTCTCGTCCTCCTTCGCTTCTTCTTCTTCTTCTTCTTCTTCTTCTTCTTCTTCTTCTTCTCATCCCCCCCACCCGAGACACGGTTAACGGAGACCTCAATTTTCAGACCACTTGCTTAGCCACATATAACAAACCCAAGGGTCATTTAAACCAAACTTGCCGCCAATTCATAGACTGGAGATGATACTACAATAGCAAGGCAAAAGTGTGTTTTCATGCGAAATTCACTGTTTTAAGTTTTCAGGATTTCTCAGGATTTTTCAGGGCTAGCCAAAACAGTAAACTCCAAGACCCCAACAAACACGAAACTTGGCACACACAGACCTTGACCAAAAATAAAATAGGGCAAAAGAAAATAAACAGAAAAAAAAAAAAAAAAATCTCCAATGCATTTTTCAGGGTTGAGGGTGTTAACCAGGGCTGAAAAGTGGGGGTCCCTGTTAATCGCTTATGCCCACCCTGCCCGCCATCCTTGAAACCGTTTTTTATTTTTTTTAATATTTTAATATATATATATATATATATATTTTTTTTCTTAGTCGCTGTCTTGTGCCAAGTGGGGACGCATTTTGGACCTTCCCCCGTGGCGGCCATTTCCCCCAACCTCTTCTCACCCACCCTTTCTTTCCCCCTGCCCCCCATCCTCCACCACCCATCTAGATCAGCTTCTTCGTCCTCTTCATCATCATCATCATCATCATCGTTTTCTTCTTCTTCTTCTTCTTCTTCTTCTTCTTCTTCTTCTTCTTCTTCATGTGTCTCACGGACATTAACCATATCCCACCTTCGTTTTTTTTTTTGTTTTTTTTTCGAGGGGTTGAAAGGGGGCCGAGGGGTGTGTGTGGGGTGTTTGTTGGCGAGCAGTCCCACACTTTGTTATTGAACGATACCATGGCGGGCGGCGACAATGGCATTGCAGCAGGCGGTGGAAGTGGCGGATCTGGAACGAGGAGACCTCCTTCATGATCGACGGACAAAGGAAAGACCACTGCCAGTACAAGTGCTCCCACATATGGGGTGACTGCAAAGGAGCCCACACTGGTGTCAGACCCGTCGTTGTTCATTCCTTAGGATGACACTAGACAAGAGGAGTTGTAGAGAGTCCGGGAGGTGTGGAAATATGTGATACAGGGTCAAGAAGCCCCGCCGAAGGGCCGGGGAAAGTATTGGCTTAAGTGCTGGCTATGCACGAAAATTTGGACGGGCACGAGCACAAGGGCAATGTAACATTTTATGAGTTGTTGAAGTCGTGTTTCCTGAGGACATGGGAGATAGTACACAAGCTCGTGCTCGCCAATACGAAGGTGCTTGCGACCGACAAAAAGACGAAGTACCTCCTGAAAAACTACAACCAGTTGCATGGCATTCCGGAAGTGGGGGCCACTCCTACGGACACTCGGGAGGTGGAGCCTGTGGTTTTCGGGTATGAGGAGCTGCAACCACCACCTACTGCAGGGATGACACCTCCAAAAACAACTTCGCGAACAGAGCCGATCGACGCTGCAGATGAGGGGTTTGCGGAAGGTTCAGGGCCAAACATGAGGGCAACATCATTGCAATAGACAACAATCAAGAGATGGGTGGACAACGTTGTACAAAAGAAGTTGGACATTGCATGGGCAGAGACAATGTTTCGTGCTGGTATTGCATTCAACTTCCTAAATTTCGACACGATGCAGAAGCTCCACAAAATTTAGTTGGAAGTTGCAAATGCGCAACCAAAGGTGAAGCTGTCGTCGTACAAGCATATGAGAACTATGATGCTTGACATTATCTACTTGCGTATTCAAAAGCAAGTGGATCCTTTGACAACCTGTTGGGGTGAATCTGGTTGTATATTCATCACGAACGGGTCATCCGACCGTCGAGAGCGCCCTGTCATGAACTTCTTGGCACCAGGGGGGAAAGGTGCAGTTCTGGTGGCCATAGTGTCAATGACCGGAAGGACGAAAACATTGCCAACGTTGACAAGGTTGTGGGAGCAGATTATGAAGGAGATAGGGGTGCATCGCATCAACGCGATCTGCGCTGACAATGTCGAGGTGAACAAGAAGGCTGCTCAGATTCTGGAGCGCCGCACTGACAAAGATATTGTAAGGATTCCATGGGTTACTTGCGCTGCGCATTGTCGCAGCCTTTTGTTGCGAGACCTCAGCAAGCTGGACTGGGTGAAGGGCACCGTGAAGAGAGGCCACACGATTATGAAGTTCATATGAAACCACCACTGCACGCACAACCTGATGATGTCCTTCGACGATTCCTTGTCATTGCTTCGGTCCATGGAAGTTCGATTCGGGTCAGTGTACATGATGTTGGAGAGGATTCACAACAGGAGGGTAGTGTTGTTGGATATGGTGGATCGGAAAATGCAGCACTGTGGACGGGGATGCGTTGGTCCACTGCAAAGTTGAAGTCAAAAGCGGACCTGGTGTACTTCACCTTGAAGAGAGACGGTTGGTGGACGAAGTGGAAGAAGGTGGTTGACATGATGGAACCGTGGTACACCCTTCTGAGATGGAACAACGCTAACAAACCTTGTTGAATATGACGACCTGATTGAGAGGAAACTTGCTCACGTCGTTCTCATTGAGGAGCAGGGGGCGAGCGTCATGGAGAAAGCTAGAGATCGTGTGAAGATGATGTGGCAACCAGTCCATGCACTAACGTTTCTTCTAGACCCGCGTAGGAGAAATCCGCGGTGGCTTTACGATCGGGACAGTGCAATTGTGTAGAACGCGATGCGTTACCTGCAGAGACATGTTGGAGGTGCTTGGAAAGGGCCATACCACCTTGAGGTTTTGGGTGACCCGCACGAGTTCCACAAGGAGCCCACGCCGAACGAGCCCAAGAGAAAGGACACCACGTTGTGGGAGCCCGATGCGAAGGCTAATTGTGAGAAGCTCGCAACGACAGAGTGGTGGGCGACTTATGGCGGCGATGTCTCCGACTTGCAGGCCATTGCCATCAAAGTGATGGGCATGTGGAGTACGGCTACCCAGCTGAGAGGAATTGGTCATCCATGGACTTCGTGCATTCCAAAAGAAGGAAGAGGTTGAAGCCCGAAACGTTGGAGAAGTTGGTGTACATCCACTAGAGCATGCAATTACTACGTGATGCAAACAACAGTGGTGCCACCGGCGAGGGCTATGTTGATTTGTGGAGTTCGTTCTTCGAGGCTATTCCGGAGCCAGACGAGGACAATGGATCTATCTTGAGGAGCCCCGATGAGGAAGCTGAGAAGACAGAATAGGAGCTGGTGTGGCAAAGTAGCTTCGTGAAGACACCAAAGGGAAGGATTCCAAAGAAGCTCGAAGACAAAGAGGACGAGTGCACAAACGACAGTGACAAAGAGGACGAGTGCACAAACGACAGTGCTGTGGAAGGGGAAGTGTGGATTGTCGGATGAGTTGAGCGGCGCGGAGGAGAAGGATGATGAAAGTGATTTCGATTTTGAGCTGGGAGCCGAGCCATTAGTCCCAGGCACTGCGTATGTTGGTAGGAGAGTAGTTGCATGGTGTCGGAGAGGGGAGCAGCCCGCGGCTTCTACACAGGCCGGGGGGGAAACTCCTCTCAATACCATCCTCAGTCTGACGTCGAGTTCCATCGCTTGGACACGGACATCGAGTTGTTGCTGCAAAGTGCTCCGGTTGATGAGGATGAGGCGGAGGCCGACCGTGCAAAGGCATTAGCAGATCGTGATTGAGAGACGCAAGAAGAAGGTTCGGGAAAACGAACCGGAGCTGCGGCGACCATTGGACGTTGTGCAAGAGCGAGAAGAGGAACATCAGGAACAAAGTGAAGCGGTTGTGAAGATGGTGGAAGTCGCACTCCAAGAAGAGGGAAACGACAAGGTGCAGCCAAAAAGGCAAAGGAGGCGGACCAGCAAGAGGCGGCGCACCACAAACTGGCACAAAAAGGCGGAGGAAAAGGACCAGCAAGAAAACAAGGACAACATGGAGCAACAAAAAGAGGTGGAGATGGAGCACGAAGAAGAGGACAAGGAGATGGAGCATGAAGAGGACGAGGAGGGGATGGAGAGGCAAGGAGAGCAGGAGGACATGGAACAGCAAGAAGAGGCGGAGGTCATGGACCAGCAGGACATGCAACACAATGTGGATGAGGAGGACGGCGAAGAGGAGCACCAGCCTGTAGTGAAGACTGTGTACACGTGTAGGCAACGACTGGTTGTGTCCTCACAGTCGGTCGAGGACATTCCCGACTTCCCTCCCAACAATGAGGTTGTCCAACATGACAACCTGTGGGTGAGCAGGGTGGGGAGGAAGAGAAAGGAACCGATGAAGGATGCTGCTACAAAGCCTAAACGTGCTTATGGTAGAGCCCGCAAGCTGAAGACCGTTGAACCTGTTGCAAAACCAAAGAAAAAGAGTCGCCAACGCAAGGCTCGAGCGGAGGTTGTGGAGGATGACCCCGATTCAGATAACTGCAGTGGACCTG